CGGGTGATGTTTCCCACTCCGCCTTGCTTGGCAGGGTGTGGGACCCACACTGTGCGTTGTGCCAGTAGCTGGGATTGGGCTTTGGAGGCTTTGAGCGCAAGCAAATTCCTTGGACTCCCAGCAGGACGGCGCTGGGTCTCAGGGAGCCGCAGCGGATGCGGCCCTATCGCAGATCTGCCAGACAACCCTTATTTGGAGCGTCCGATCCTGAAGGCAGGAGGTGGCTGGGGAGCCCACAGGTGCATGAGTTGCCCAATTTTTATCTCTGCCTTGGCTCTCACCCTGCTGATGCAAAACCTGTGGTGCATGTGGGAGGTGAAGAAACAAATGTGAGAGCAGCAAGATTAGCGACCTCTCAGGTGATCGGTACCAAGCGTTTCTTTTTTTTCTTCCTCCTTCTTTGAAAGGCAGAGCAGCCTTCCCAGCACTGCTTTCCTGGGCTGTACTTTCATGGATGTGTGCAGGCAGAGACCCATGCTTGCCCTGCTTGTGCTGCCAGCTGCCTGGCCACGGCCCAGCTCCACTCCTGGAAGCCACATGGCCACGTTAGCATGGCACTCTGCCTCTTGGGGCTGCACTGGTGTCATTTATGAGGCTCCGGGGCTAGGAAGGGTTTGTATCCAGCTCAACAGGATTGAGAACTTTAAGGTCTATCCTGCATACATCCATGTGCTTGTCTCTTTAGGAAAGACCCCTTTGTCTTTCTCATTCACATCTGTATTTAGCAAAGCCTTTAGAGAACCCATGTGCTTTCGGCCATCAGCACTTAAATATTGACCTTTGAGCTTCTGGGTAATTTTTCTTTGGTGGATGGCTGATAAATGAGCTGTCTGTGGAATTTGGGCCTAAGGCTGTTCCTCCAGCTGTTCGGCAAGAGTACAGTGACCATGTGGTTGCATGCATCTGTGGGTCACCGTGCAAAGCAGCTCTCAGGCCTGGAACTGACATTCCCAGAGCTCCTGCTGGCAGGCAGGTTCAAATCCGCTGGTCCAAACCACACTCTTTTATTTAGGTTAGATGCATCCTTTGCCTTATTTGTTCCCCTGGTTTTTAATCTTGTGTGGAAGCCTCAAAGGTTCCTCTTCAGGTTAGTTCAGTTGAGGGGTTCCGTGGCTCTCTGTTCTACAAAAAGTGAAATTGACACAGAGATAAAGTCAACTGTACAGCAACTTCCCTGCTGCCTTCCCCAGCCGGAGACCACAGGAATGAGCTTGCTGCACCAAGAGAAAGCGGAGTGCAATGCAGCATGGTCCCAGTGGGTCCTGTTGGGTGAGGTCTGTGAGGCCCCAGGCTGGTTCTGGGAGCAGGGAGTCTGGTGAGGCATCTGCAGCAAGACTGTGCCTTGGTGTTATGGAAATGGGATACATTGGAATCCCCTTGCCTGCTGCATTTTGGGCAGAACACTGGAACTAGTGGGCCATCAGCACTTAAGGTCAAGAAGAATGGTTTATACTGCCTTCCTGAGGAAGCAGCTTAACCTGTCCCTATTGGGTATGTTGTAGACTCTGGGCTTTGTGTTTTCTCCACATACAGTGAACCAAAGTCTCGAGCATCCAGATAGGTTTAAGTTCAGTATAACGTTAAAACAAGAGGCTTTTGCCTATCTAAGAGTGCTAGAGAAAAGCTGTTTGGTGTTTTTTTTTTTTTCCTGAATTGAGAAAAGAAATGGCCAATGGACTTGGATTATTGAGCAGTGATTTTATCTTCTGATTACAAAAACATAATGGAGCATAAATAGGAGGAGTTGAATGCAATTTAGCTATGTTCTGCTTAAAAAGACTAAGTTGCAGGGAGGAAGGTAATCAGATGAGGATGGTCCCAAGCCCATCTGTCTAGGGCTATGTTCAGAAGGAAATCCGTGGCATGAGTGGAGGTCTGTTATGTGACCTTAGTGCAGGTTCTACCACATGTGGTGCTGGGGACTGGGCAGAGCTGATTCCCATCCACGCAGCCTGCCTTTACCTGGGCCAGCCCCAGGATCCCTTTCAGCTTTGCAGCGGGTAAGAGGAGGCTGTGCAAAGTGACATCTCATCTAAAGCTTCTGCATATGCAACCTTTGGACTAAGCAAAATTGCTGGTGCTTCTTGTGTGACCAAAGAGCTCCCCGCGTCCAAGATAAACCAGGGAGAGGAGATGTAGGTATGCAGGCCTTCATGTTGTAAAGACATCTTTCATCTCGCTGACAGTGAGGTTCCTGCAGTGCTTTGATTGCCCTTTAATTATGCCTGTTTTTCCTGGTTTGTTTGAAAGGCAGATCTTGTTAGGAAAAAGGTGCTGCGTGGAAAGAACCTGGCTGTCTGTGCTGCCCTTCCTTGAGGGCGTGCAGCAGAGCAGATTAGGTTTTTCTGCAGAGTTAAAGCTGAAGATCATTTCTTGCAGATCTGACCATAGGCACAGTGTGTTCCTTCGTAGCTGTGAGCAGTCAGGTGGTTAGATGGCTCACGGAGCCAAGAAGGTCAGTGCTCTTCCTATGCCACCTTCCAGTGTGATCTCAAAGCAGCTGCTTTCATCCCTGTGTCTCAGTTTGTTCCTTCTGCAGGACTGGGCTGCTGCTCACCTGCCCTGTGGCTGCACGGTGCTGACCGTGGCCATGGGAGGTCTGGAGTGCACTGAGGTGAATGTCACTGAATGTGGAGTTACAGCATCATGTCCTGGCTTGCAGGCTTTGTTGTTTGGTGTTCCATCTCAAACACCGCTGTGCAGAGCTATTTGTCAGCTTTCATTAATAACAACAACATTAATAACAACAGAAAATGAAGTCTGGCAAAGCCTGGAAATATGATTCAGTATACACCACGGGTTTAACTGCCAAGCAAGCAAAATAAAACTCGGGAACAGGTTTCTGATCCTTTTCCAGATCTTTAAAGAAAATCTGCGTAACTTTTGAGGGTTTGACTCACGCTCGTAAGTGCTTGGGCTTGACAGCACTCTATTTTTACATGCCGGCTTTATGTTGAATCTTGGGAGGTGAGATGAAAATGTGTTTTTTTTTTCATTTTTTTTCAAAGTAACAGCAAATCTTAATATAGCTGAGAATGCGGAACTGCCCTTAGGAAAATAGGTTGGACACATGAAAAGGAATCTTGCTCAGCAGGCTGAAGACGTGGAGCAACTTCTGCGGTTACATTTTTCTTTCTTCTGGCAGTTGTGGGGTGGGGATGGAGCTGGCTCACAGAGCTGGTTCGCTCACCCAGCCCTGCGTTTCTCTCTGAGCACAGTCACATCTTCCTGAGCAAAGCACCGGGCTGAGGCTGTGATAGCTCAACCTAGAAAAGCAGTTGTCTGAAGTGCCCCTTTTGTGGAATTTGAAGCAACTTCAAACTTACAGTGGGGCTCAGAGTTGCAGGATGGGTTGGGAGAAGCAGATGATCCCTTTTAACTGAGGTGGTTTGGTACAAATGGGCAAAGGCACAAGAAAGTTTGGGTTGTCGTCTCCCGCCTAGAGTCCTGAAGACTTAAATGGCATTGAAATGAAGTCAACTCTTCAAAGCCAGAACTAATCAAATGAGGAGAATTTCAAGTAGGAGGATAATCTTTGTCATCTGACAGCCGATCCCAGGTTCCCATGAGATCCCCACACAGTTGTGCTGCAGCAGCACGTAGCTCTTGTGCCAAGGCTGCCGCCTTTTGCCCGGAGTGCTGTGCGTGCTTTGCATAGCTGGTAAGGCTGGGCCTGGGGGCCTCTTCCAGTGGAGTGCCCCGTACTTACACCTGAATTTGCCAAAGAAGATGTGACACCGTTTTGTGGGTGCTCGATCTCTTGGGGTGCAGCAGTGTGGGACTTCAGGAGGGGTTTTGCAGGAATGTTGGGGTTGTGGGAGACGTGGAGCAGCTGCTGAGTGCCTGTTTCCTTGCAGCATGCAGTCATCTTTCCCATGCAGACAGGAGAGCTGCATGTGAATATTCATCATGGGTCCGTATATTTAAAATTGAAAAGATGTAAAAGTATGCAGACAGCAGAGTTAAGGCTCTCTTACAAACAAGACCAGTGCTCAGGGAGCACAATTACCCAGGCTGCGCATGCGGCTGATTACACAGTCCCAGAGCAGCTGAGAGCATCTCTTCAGGCTCCTTGGAGCAATTGCTCACCCTGGTAGTGCTGCCAGCACCCTCCCTCTGCCCATTCCGGGCCCTGGAGCTCAACATGCAGGTGGTTGTGGATTGCTGATGTTTACTGGCAATACTTTCCACACGTCTCAGTTTCTCTGTAGGAGTGAGACCTGGCAGGGTGTTGGCAAGGTCCTGCAGAAGGGGCTGTGGCTGTTTGCTGGGCTGTTGTGCCAGGGGTTGTGCTTAGCAATGCTCGACTGGGCAGCCAGCCTCCTGTTCTTTGGTTTTTCTTTTTAGATTTTTATTGCACTGTTTTATACAAGAATAAGAACTTGTATCCTAATCTGTTGATAGGTATTGCATTTCCATTTCCCCATTGTGTCAGAACTTGAGAAGGCTGTTGCAGAACCTGTGCAAAGAAGCCTTTGATAAGCACTTTGCAAAATCACGGTTCCTGATCAAACCCATCCACTACTTGCAAATGAGCAAGGGATTTTGCAATGCTGAGAGGCTCCGGAAGGTGGCACTAATTCTCTGTACAGTGTCAGATTGTGCTTCACTTTAGCAGCAAAAGAAGTAAGCAATTAGTTGGTGGGAAGCATTCCTGCAATATCTCCAGCAACTTCTGAGATGTGCCAATAATGAGCATTGTGTCTGGAGAGAGGCCTGGTGTAAATGTCTGGGAAAGGTGGATGGAGATCTCAAAGCTTGAGAATTTACTGAAATTGACTCTTACTGAAGTGACTTTGCCCCTGTTGTGATTTGGATAAAGAATTAGGAATGCAGTGATGTCTCTCATGCATTTTTACCTGAAATCTCTGAAGATAGAGAGCGCTGCATGTAGGGGTGGAGAGCAGCATCTAGATCTCCACTTGTCATGCAGTCTGTTGTTCAGTGGCCAGTGAGCAATGTGTGACACTGCTGATGAGTACTGTTTTCCTCTTCTGCAGGTTTTCATCTCTGTGAACTGCCTCAGCACAGATTTTTCCTCTCAGAAAGGAGTTAAAGGCCTGCCCCTGAATCTTCAGATCGACACCTACAGCTACAACAACAGGAGTAACAAACCTGTGCACCGTGCCTACTGCCAGATTAAAGTCTTCTGTGATAAGGTAAGGTTGGGTCAATGTGCAGATGATACTTTGGGAAAGGCTGCTCCTCAGCTTAGGGGGCTTTTGTTTGAACAGTGCAATTGGTATGGACAAGTGAAGGCGTTCATTTTTGCCTAAGTTGCACCATGTCATCCCTTGTAAATATCTTTGTGTTTTCTTATTATGCTTTTCTTTTGTTGTCAAGTTGACCCTTCTTTGAGCGTAAAATGGAGCTGCTCTCGTTGTGCCCTTATGGGATACAGCAGTGTAGTGTGTTTACAGGGTGGATAGATGCTGTAATTTGACTGCTCTGCCTCATGCATTTAACACATCAAGAACTAACACCTTTCCCAGTCATGGATCACCTGAAAGAGTGAGGGAAGCTACAGGAGCTGAGCTGAAAGCAGTTGTAAGAGCTTCTCTGGGTTTGTGAAGAAAGACTTCTCAGTTTTTTTAACCTGCTCCCATCTGAACAATCTTTCAAGGGAGATGGTAGCAGGTGATATGCAGTGTTACTGTTTCCAGAGCGACCAAGAGCTCTCCTGGCTGGCAGGAGTGCTGCATGACTTCCCCAGTCCCTCTGTCCATCACTGGGAGCCATACTGAACTTCTGCCTTGCTGGCACCATACTTGGCTGGGGCCTCTCTTCACATCCAGCCCCTCTTTATCAGAAGGACTGTTTGCGAGCGAGATCTCGCACACCTCTGCAGTCCCAGGTCTGAGAATAGGTTCACACTCTCCCTCTGGAGGCCTGAGCTATCAGGCATTGATCTCATCATGTGCAGTCTTTCCTTGGCATGCTGCTGGAATATGAGTGTCCCATTTCATTTTTTTTCTGCCCCACCACCTCCCCAAATCTATGGAGCCCTCTAATCTGCCTCTGCTAATAGCACCCTAGTAATAACCTGCCATGTTTTATTGTTCATTTTTGGTTTTAAACAGAATCATGGAATCATTAACGTTGGAAAAGACCACTAAGATAATCTCATCCCCCCACTGTTCCATCCCCAGCATGGCCCTTAGCCACGTCCCTCAGTGCCCCATCTCCACGGTTCTTGAACACCTCCAGGGTTGGTGACTCCACCACCTCCCTGGGCAGCCTGTGCCACTGCCTCACCACTCTTTCTGAGAAGAAATGTTTCCTCATATTCAACCTGATGAAGTAACTGGTAATGAAGGCCGTCTCTGCTTTCCTGCATATTAGGAGAAGCTGCTTGCAGTTATCAGTATAAAGTTGTTTATTTGTCATCCTTCGTGTGCCTCTTGGGAAGAGTTTTGTTTTCCTTCCTGGGAAGACTGTTGTGATGATGATGAACTTACGAGAGAATTAATGAATGTTCTCAGGGCTACTTCCTCTGCACATAACTGTGTCATCTGCATGTATCACTGTCCTTACTGTGTTTGTTGCCACCTTTTACCTGCAGGTGTGCTGTTACCCATTTTCTTCTTGGGGAACCAATTCTACACTGTGAAGATCTTTTTTGGGGGGGAAGCAAAAAAAAAAAAAAAAACAGCACAAAATAGCCTTGCTGTGGCCAACCAACTGCTCTGTCACCCCCTAATTCCACCTAAGGCCTGCCTGACCTTCCATCAAACCTAGGTACTGGCATGGCAGTGCTCTGCTGTTTTATGTGTATGAATTCATAGATTTTCTATGGAAGGCCAAGCAGTTGTGTTAATGCTGTGCGATCGCCTTTGCACAGGAAGGGAGGAACCTGTGGGGCAGGGGAAGCTGCTGCTGCTTGGTTCTGGTTTTTGGTTGCTGCCTGTGAGATGAAGTTTCTTCCGGCGTTTCTGCTCTTCGTGTTCCATGTGGAAGGAGCCCAAAGGTGCCCACCATGCTTGGATTGCATCTTACCTCCCATGTGGCTTCAGGAGCTGAACAGAGATTGCTGCCTTTCTGTAGTGCATTATAGTGCAGGCTTCCTTCAGGCTTGTCACGGAAGTGCTTGGGCTACCAGGGATGGGGGTGGTCTGTCAGAGGGAGAATTCTGGGACACAGCTGAGTGCTGCATGACAATTAAATGCATGCTCTCACAAACTATTGCTGACGGTGTCCTTTGGGAGCTGCCATTGCTGTGCAGTGAGAGGGTTTTTGTGGGGTACTGAAACCAGTGAGATGTTGAAAGAAGAGGTCATGGAGGTGATGCAGCTGGCTGAAGAACAGGCTGTGCTGGTGCAGAGTGCTTGATAGGGGATAATGCTTTCTGCCTCTGTCCCAGCCCAGTAAATCACCCCCCCCCCCCTCCAGAATTTCTAATGCTTCTGCAGTGAGCAGCTTCCCCTCCTATTAGATCTCTTCTTCTCTGACCTACTTCATGAACCCGGGAGCAAGGAGATGAGAGATGCCAAGGGCCAGCCCTGAGGACCTGTGAGAAGTGTTATTTCTGCAACCCCCCCTGCATGCCATGGGTCACAGCTTGAGCCTCCAGCTGGCTTTCAACAGTGATGTGCTGTTATTAGACCCCTTTGGCTCAGCATCCCTTGTGCTCTCACGTCTCCACGTCCCTTTGCCCTAGTTTCCATGAACAAGAGAGTAGCAGAAGTCCCTTGTAGTGACATTTCTCCACCAGCCAAGCATCCTCACTACATTGTCAGATGTGGGGACATGCCAGGCACGTGGGCAGGATGCCCAGCTGTTGGCTGGAGTGAGCCTGTCCCACAGGAAAGCTCCTCCGCATTGCGAGCAGGCTGCCAGAGCCCTACCTAAACAAGAGGGGCTGGGGGCATCTCAGAGCACGTCTGTTGTACCCAGCACGTGGGCAGGAGCCAGGCAGCCCAGCGGTGTCCTGAAGACTGTGCCATTTTGACCGTGTCGCAGCTTTGCACCTGTGCAGCTGTTGCTTATCATGTTAGTTGTGTTTTGCTGCAGGAGGGAGAAATGATGGCTCTCCAGAGCACAGCTTCCCTTTGACAGCCCAAGAACCCGTTACACAAGGGAGGAGAAACAACAAAGAAAAATCCTGCAGCCTTTAACATGTTGGCAAGAGTGTGAAATCTTGCATTTCAGCATTTCAGGCTGGTGAGGAAAGTTGGGAAGATCTTTTTCTTGTGAGCATACTTACTCCATAACTGCAGAATATGGGATTCCAGTATCTTTGTTGGTTTTTTTTTTTTTTTCCTTCCCCTTGCTCTTGGTAACAAGCTGACAAACAGAAGAGCCTGTCGTTTAAGCAGCTGAGGTGATGCAGGGACCCAGGGAGAACCCAGCTGACTGTATATAACAGAGCTCTGTGACCGTGCAGTAAGGGAGAGGTCAAAGGAGGTTTCCTCAAAATGCATACAAATCCTGTCAGTGGGGTCTGTATGTTCTTGGCACTGAAGACGGTGCTGTTGTATAGCATAAAGTCTGAGGAGCAGAACTTCAGTAATTGCACATGAAAGGTGGAGAACACAGGGCTGGAGCCAAATCTTTGTGCCACCAACTTCTGCTGTTGAGCTGAGATGCTGCAACCCCTCTGGTGACAGAAGGCATAAAGAGGAAGTGGGTCCATCTGGAGTTTGGGTGGGTGTCCTCAACTGTCCTGGTGGAGCCTTTGTGTTGTTATGGGGCCAGCTGCAGCCAGCAGCAGGCTTGTCTTTATCAGCAACTTTCTTGGGTTTTTTTCCACAACAGCTGTCATGAAACTACTTGTGTCCCTGCTGCCAGCAGGGCGAAGAGGAGCTATGTGTTGGTGCACATCAAACGTGTAGGTGAATCTTCCCTTTAGTTGCTAGTGCAGACATGCCTGCTGCAACCTTGCAGATGTTAGTGTGGTGGTGCCCATAGAGTGTGGATTTACTGCGTGGTTAGGAGGGCTGTTGCCTTTCTCACATGCATGTATTAGGTACTGTTAGGTACTATTTCACACCTTACTGCCGTGTGTTTTTTGATACTGTCTTCTATAGCTAATCTGTTCTTCCTCTGCTCTGCACAGCGATGTGGGACTGTTACTGGCAGCTCTGCAGGGCTAGAAAGAAGCAGTGATGGCTTTCTGTAATGCCTCTGTGGCCAGATGACTGTTACTCTATTTTACAGGAGGGCAGAGCTTGTGCGCTCCATCTGGGGCAGTGGTCTGATGGCAGCACCCCAACTGAGTCTTGGGTAGCTACTTTGGGCCAGTTGCTTCCTGCAGCTGGCTGTGTGACATCCCTGCCCTAAGCCACAGTCACGTGGGATTGTGTTCAGAGCTGGAGGAATGGAAGTGATTCTCTGTTGTAGCTGTCTGCATCTACCTTGACTTTGTGTCCCCACTGCTGCTTGGGGTGAAGTGCCAGGAGCTATGTGGGCAGCAACCCAGCTTGGTCTCTGTGGCTTCCACCACAGCCCAGTGCTGATGCAAAGGAAAGAAAGAAATGATGCCTACATTAAAGCAGTGAACGTCTACAGCTTTAGACTGTAGAGGCTTCCATAGCTGCTGCTGACTCCACGTGCAGCATGCAGGAAGGTATCTTGGTGATCCGAGCGTGGCTTGACGTTATAGATCAATGCTCAGTAATTATCTTATGAACTCTTAAATTGGGAGGACTTGAGAGTTTCTAGTGTTTCAAATACTTCAGGTATATCTTGTTGTGCTTCATACAATTGTTATTTCTATCTGACTTGAAAGAAAAGGAAGTAATGGCACCTTCTGTGTGGTTGCTGGAGTTCATTCATGATAGGATTTGAAAGTAAATGCTGGGAGATCTCAGTGTTGGCATACAGGTGGAATTGCATCTCAGGTACCCTGGATCTGACCTCTGCAAGCACAGCTCTGGAAGAATCTGTTCCTGCTTTTGCAGCCAAAAAAACAACAAACTGAGAAACCTTCCTCACTTCTACTTCCCTTAATCTCTTGGCAGGGAGCAGAAAGGAAGATCAGGGATGAAGAAAGAAAGCAAAGCAAAAGAAAAGGCAAGTGCACTGACCCCAGCTCTCAGTTGAATGCCTGTAAGTAGAAATTATTCCATGAGTATTTTAAATATTAGATCTCATTTTGTTGACGAATAGTTTATGCAGTAGTACTCTTGAGTCAACTCCCCTGTGGAGGTGGTTTTGCTTTAAGCTGTTGTTTATGGATCATTAATTGCATTTAACAAGTTACTGAGTCATTTAGGACTTTATGTGATTTTTCCTGTCCAAGACAGGATCCTGGTGCACATTTACCAGCAGTTGAAGTGACGAGGTGTGTGTGATGTTTGGGTGCTTGCTGCAGCCCCTGTAGATTCAGGTGTCCACAAGAGCTGGAGCTGTTCTTAACATTTCCAACTTGATCTTAAACTTAAGCTTTAGCGTATGTTGGAAGGTGCTTACAGCTGTGCAGCAAGATGGTGGCAGGCTTGAATCTGTGCCTTCCAGCCCTGTGCTCACTCTTCCAGAGCGAAGCCATCCTTATTTAGTATTTTCAGTAGAAATTGTTTCCATACGTATGAGTGATGTGAAGATCTCTGTGTTCTCAGTACACAAAGGCTGCACAGCTGCCTCTTGCTAAGTATCTTCCCCTTGGCTGCTGCAGGTGAGGTTTATGTATCTTGACTGCAACAGATCCTGTGTTTTGGTGGCTTGTTATTGGCTAACAGAGCTGCTCAGAGAACACATCTCCCAATGCTCCCTTTAATGGGGCAGGCGTGTGCTCTCCCTTGCTTATCAGAGCTGTGCTGTGAGCAGTCCGACTAGTTGGACAGGCAGGCATCTCACAGCTTGTTGGGCAGGATTTTCCTGACACAGCAGGTATGGGCTGCTGGAGCAGCTTCAGAAGAAGGTAATGCTCTGAGGGAACCCTTTTGCTCAAGGGCCAATGTTGAAGGGATCTGTTTTGATTTGTTTTTCCCTACGTAAAAGGCAGCTTTAGCACACTGGGAGCATTTCACAAATGTAGTTGCCTCATTGGCTGTCAAAAGACTGCTGGAAGGTGAAAACTCAGTTTCAATACCAATTTCCAGGATCTTGTGATTGTACAGAAGCTTTCTAGTGAGAATTAACCTGGAGAGACCTTGATTTTCCTGGAAAGTGCAGTGCGTTGCTGTTGAGTTTTTATGTTAGGAGTTTTTAATTGCTCTAAGACAAAAGCTGTTGTACCCACCTCTGGGATTACTGATACCGTATGCAAGTGGACTTAGCAACAGCAGAAATGTTGACTTTTGGTCAAAACAATTATTTTACAGGGATTGAGCAGTCTTTGAAAAATCAGTTTTACAAGGCAAAAAAAGTTTATTTCTGATCGGAAACATGAGAGGTGAAGTGCTTTGCTATACACTCAAAGTGTAAAAGTTTCCACGTGGTAGTTAAGTGGAAATCTGTGGTTCTGACATGACCAGATATCAGAATCTGGTCATATCAGAACAGCAATTTGAGGCACCTCCTGCCTCACTCTGTCCCAGATGGGCTTTTGTGAATGAACGCTGTGCTTTGTGTCACTGAACTGGTGTGTGGTGAGAGCTGAAGTCCTCTGTGGGAGATGGTGCTGGTGGGGGATGACGTGGGGTCTGGCAGCCTGGGGGTGACCAGGGCGAATGATGAGATGAAGAATATAAATTGAGAAGTATGAAATGGAAATGCAACTCGTGAGCAGATTTGTGCATCTCTTTAGAGCAAACATGCTGCTTAATACAGACTTTGGAGAGGTGCCCAGCTGTGTGGGTGGCAGTCTGTTTCCTTCTCTCTCTTCTTTCCACCGTTCTGGTGTGGGAAATTCAGCAGCCCACTGTGGGGGATTGGTTAAGCAGAAGGGCAGGGGGGGCTTTAAACAGCTTTTGTTCTCTGTTCCACTTGGTATATGGAAGACCTAGGTTTTTCTGTTGGGGTTAGTGGTCAGACCACCCTGCAGCCCAGCTTAATACTCAGATGGAGTCAGACAGTTCACTCAAATGGAATTCATTCTCTGCCGTTCTGCTGGAGTCCAGGCCCCCTTACCCAAGACAACCCAGGTTCAAACTCCTACTACAGAAGCTTCTCCCTTTGACCATGACTGTTGGGTACTCTTGTTCAGCAGCCTGTGTGTGCCTTTTAAATGATGTGGGAGAGCTTCGGCCTCCTCACTGCCTGCACCGTTCTCGCTGTCTGTGCTGTCCTCTGACCCAGCCTTTGGTCTCTCTCCAGTTTCTGATGTCAAAGTGCCAATGCTTCCCTCGCATAAGCGGACGGACATCACTATCTTCAAGCCCTTCATGGATTTAGACACTCAGCCAGTCCTCTTCATTCCTGATGTTCACTTTGCAAATCTGCAGCGTGGTGCTCACGTAAGTAAAGCCGTGGGTGTGGGAGTGATGAGTGCTGTGGGGTGTATTTGCAAGAAGTCTAGGGTGCTGTGTGTTTCTGTTAAATATGAAATACCAGACTGTCTGTGCTGCTGCTGTAAACAAACACAGGCTGAGTCTTACATGAGCAAGAGACATTGCTCCTAGACGTGTTGGCTGGACTTAACTGGGGATGTTTTCTGAATAAATTATTTTCCTGTGAGCTACTGTTGTGAAGAACCTGAAATGATTTTTCCAAAGCATTTCCAGCTGAGAGTTCACAGAAGGAACTGCAGGCTGGTTTTCTCTTGTAAAGTCTGCTGGCTTTCTGCTGTGCTGCTGTGGACTTCAGGCTTCTGCAGCCTGCTGCTGCAGAGTGAAAAGCTGTTTTGTGGAGCTGGCAAGCGTGTCAGCTGTGTGATCTGCTGCCAGATCACCCTGCCTCAGCATTCCTGGAAAGTCCCAGCTGACAGGAAGCTGGAAGGGAAAAAATGAGTGCAACCAAATTTCAAAATCTTCAGTCTTCCTGTGTTTAGAGTTCTGGCATGCTCTAATAGAATATCAGTGTTACTTTTTTAAGACAGTGGCCTCAATTCCTAACAGAGAATCGAAATAAACTTGTCTCTATAAGCTGTAGTTTTAAGTACTGCTGGAGGACTACGTTAGCCTAGACAGAGAACTAGTTAGCTCTTGTGCATTTCCATCCCTAGCATTTGAGATCCTTCAATTTCTCTGCAGGGGAAGTGATAAAAAAGGTAGTTACTGCCTTTTGAAAGATTGAGTCTAAGTGTTGTTCAATACAGAGTTGAAAGATAAAGAGGAAATGGATTCCAGTTCTGGATAAAGCTTGCACAACCCTAAGCAAAAGTACTGTCTGTTTATTAAAATGAAGGCGATGTTTTTTTGCTTGGATCAAAGAATCTTACTTGTAGCAGTAAAGGTGTGTCTGGCTGCCTTCTTGACAGCCTCTTTTTCCCCTCTAGCTTGTACTGCTGTGTTTATCAGTCAGTTGAGCAAGAGAGCCGGCTGCCTATCCCCTGCATTTCCTACTGTGGGTATAGGGGTTCTCTCTGCTAGAACAAAAACGTGTCACTGTTGGACCTTTGCTTGTGTGGGATACAGCAGAATTGCTCAGTGGCAATGACTCTTGGATGTAAGCAGATCTATTGCAGAGTTGCTGTTTGCATTTAGTGCTTGAAGGGATGGGAAGTGTATTGCTGGCAGGACCGTGTAATGCCAGCCAAATGCTATGTCTTCGTGTGGCTTTGTTTTGTGGAGTTCATACTACTATGTAGTTTTCTCAGAGGACAGAATATGCTCTTAGGCTCTCACTAGCTAGTCAAATCACCGTATGTTTTTCTGCATATTTCAAGAAAATCTTTCTTTGTTTTAAAAGGTCCTTCCTGTTGCTTCTGAAGAGCTAGAAGGTGAAAGGTAAGAGCTGTGCTTTTTCAGACTCCTGAAACTTTGCCCTTGGAAAGGAGGTAAGTCCCTGTAATTGGACTGTGGCTGACGTTTTGCTCTGTCAATGACAGTTCCAACCTGAAGAGAGGAGGTTACATTGGTGAAGAGGACTTCATTGCTACTCCAAACAAAATGGCCAGAATAGAAGAACCAAAAAGAGGTATTACTTTCTCCTTTCAAAGACTGCATTATCGGAGTGCTTGTCCATCAGGATAAAGAGAAGCCCCTGAGATTGTTTCATTTTGTAGTATGCTTTATCCTGACCTTCTTGTTTTGACTAATAATGGAAAGTACACGTGTGTCAGATTGTAATTCAGTTTCACAAATCTTTTTGCTGTGAGAGAATTTTGGGGCTTTTCTGCCAGCTCAGGCACTGCCTGCCTTTGAATTTTGTGTAAGGAAAGGTGCAGAGATATTGAGCAGTTTGTACCAGTTTTTTGAGCAGGAAGTTTACCAGATAATCAATTACAAAATGCCGGAAACTCTTTTGTGGGGGTTTGACGTTTCAGTGCCAAGAGCTGCTTCTGAATATCGTTGTATCTTCCGTGGTGCTGGAAGATGGGCTGTTCACCACTAGGAAGCAAAATGAGAGCATATTTGGTTGATTTGAAACCTGTTTTGTATCTTTGAACTTTGTGGAATTGGACACTAATGTGGTGTCATGGCAGAAAATGAGAGATCCTTTTTGGAGGAGGCATAGAGGGGGATTGCCTGCCTGATGAAAGCTGTATATGGAAAGACCATGACAAGTCTTAAAGGATTAAGAGATGAAGATTAAACTTGCGAGGTTTAACCTTTTCCACCTCACGAGTTTGACCCGAATGGGGCTGTACTTTGGTACTCTGTAAACTAATTGGAAATGATGGATTTTATAAAAGGAAGTGTGACCTCTTGGTGTCTCTGGACTGTGTGCAATAAAATGAGATCCATGGCAATATCTCTATGTTGACTGCTCTAATGTCCTACCTGTGCTGTTACTGAGAGCGTTCACGCTCTCTTCATTTAAAAATCTACAGTTCTTGTTTTGAATCTTCCTCTAGCAGAGGAAATCCAGGTGTTGTGCTGTCCTTAGCTCACCTTGGTCAACTTAGACCAGTAATTGTGCTGTATTGCAGGCGTGTCAAAGGTGTGTAGTTAATGAACCCTTGTATACAATCCAGCTTGCAATACCTAGTCATTAGAAGACGGATTAAAGGCAGCAAAGCCGTTCAAGTCCAAGCTTTTTTGCTCTTATGGCTTATTCCTCAGCCTTAATGCAGTTTTTAATGAGGCTGATGCTACATACAATGACTCTGCTGGCTTGAGAACGCTAGAGATACTTACCTAATTGGGTTTCTTATTCTTTGGTTCCCATGCTAGCAGGAAAGAGAGCCTGTAGTGTGTGTCAGCTGAGCTGGAGTGGGGATTCCTCAAATATGGCGTGGAGAGGGGAAGCAGATGAGATGGTGTAGGAGGCGGGGGGAGTGTACAGATAATTATAAAATGAGGAGCTGACCAAGTTGGCTTCACCTGCTGTGATGGCGGCTGTCAAACTGGTTAACTGTGAAAAATCTTACTGTAGGTAACTTGTGGGACATGAAGGGATGCTGGATTCTCGAAACTCCCGTGTTTTGCATTCCTCCTTTCTGTGTTTTAAATGTAATCTTTCAAAAAAACAGAGAAAGTATCAGCTGGTGAAAAACCTGAATTTTGAGAATGAAGGTGTTTGACATGTAAGCATGCAGTATTTCTGGGCATGAAGGGTGGGTGCCTTTTGAGCTAACCTAGCTGTACAGCTTCAGTGTATGGTAGGTGTATGTATGTACCTCTCTTCGTGAGACCTTTAGTCCACATTGCTCCGTATTTGGCCACTGTCATATATACAGCTCTTTGATGAGGATCAACTGCAGTTAACTCCTCTCTCTGATTTGCTTTTCAGTGTTGCTTTATGTCCGAAAAGAGTCAGAGGAAGTCTTTGATGCACTGATGTTAAAGACACCATCTCTGAAAGGCCTAATGGAAGCTGTAAGTATGAAGGCTGATTTGTAGTCCTTGCCTCCTGCTTGAGGAAAAAGTGGCCCAGTCAGTGTGTGAAGGACAATCGTAGGATTTAGAATGCTGGTTGCAGTTTGAGTCCATGTATCTCTGCTGCTTCTGGAAAAGATGCAGAAGGCCAATGCTCTTTCAGTAAAGGGGAAATTAATGTAAATAATGCTTTAGTTCATTGTTGAAGGGGCTTTTGGAAGCTTCCTGTTAAGTGTCTTATTCCACACGCATGAGATCTGGGTGTAAGAAGGTGGTTCTTAACAGTCTTCGAAAATCTGAGCTTAAGAGTCACAAACTGCTAGGCAGTGCTGGACCTCTGGGCTTGTTATTTATGCAGGCTCTTTTGTGGGCACATGGCAGCAGCAAGCAGTTTGTAGGTCTTTTCCTTGAGGAAAAAAAAGGCAGTGGGTTCCCACTTGGAATGACTTTTGTGGCAGAGATAAGAGCTGAATTAGGAGGTGAAGCAACTTCCAGAGCGTGTTCAATGGCTTGGGTTTATTTCTGTGTGAAAACCCCATTTGGGGGCCTTCCTTCCCCTCTGCAGACTGCTAGGGAGGAGCTCTTTCTGAGCCCCAGCTTAGAACAGGGCAATGTGCTTGGACAGTTTTATGTGTCTGTGCACACAAGCGTGAAATTATTCTCTGGTGCTTGACTTCCAAAATAGCCTTCCACTTACTCCTGCTGCTGTAATGCTGCAAAGGAAGCACAGAGCTTAACTCTGGGGAATGATGTCATGCTTGGCACTAGCTCAGAATTGCCATTTCTAACCGTCATTCTGTGACTAATGCCTCGTGGAGGCTTGGAAGACAGAGGCCTCGGGGCTGTACAGCCAGGTATTGCCTTCTCTTTGGGACCAGGGATGGCTCTATAACATGAGACCCTTTCCTGCCTGTGATGTTTTGGAGTGTGATGTTCTTGGTCTGTTCTCCTCTACAAATCTGGATGAGGAATATCAGGCAGAAGAGGAATTTTACTGATGGCTAATTGTGGGAGCAGCTTGAGCTGCTGTGTGCTGGGGCACAGAGGCTTTGCCAGCACACACAGGCTGGAGAGAGGCTGACAGGTAGAGGGAGTGAAGGCTGTGAGGTCCTCCCTTACCCAGGGGCCCTGAAGTAAAACTGAACCTCTGCTGTTTCACTGGGACTTCTCATAACAGGGAATCAAAAGCTCGTAAATACAGTTTGGAGAACCCATCACATGCTGTTGTGCCCTGAAAGAGCACATTGGTTTGGTGCTTGCTGTTGATTCAATAGAGCAATTTGCCAAAGTAAATCAGACGTGGTTGCCTTTGTGTATTTGTATGATGACAAGCCATGCTTTGAGGCTGTGGACACTCAAATCGCTAAGGCAGAAATTTGTGATCATTTTGTCTTCAGCACAGTTTTTTGCTTTGTTGCTCTTTCTTCCTTTATCAGCCACTGTGATGAGTAGTTTTTAACCTGATCTCTCTGATACTGACTTTAAAAATGGCTTTCAATAAAGTGAGAGACCAGAGAGCCCAAGGAGGGTGCAGTGTTGCTTTTCTCTCTGTGCAGTCTCCTTGTTGAGTCAGCAGGGAGTTGCTAGATCAAGAATCGGTGCCCAGGTTTAGATCATAATTGAGTGTTTTGCACTGAAGTAAGTGAGAGGCAGTCTTAGCAGCCTCCTTGCTTTACAGATGTTTTCTTTCTTTTGTTCTAGATATCTGACAAGTACGATGTTCCTTTTGATAAAATAGGAAAAATCTTCAAAAAATGTAAAAAAGGGTGAGTATGTATCCTTGGGGCAGCTCTGAGAACATGAGCTCCTCTCTTTCAAACCCGTAGGCAAATCTGCTTTAATTCTTTCTGTGCACTGCATGTATGCAAATGTCATGAGTGTGTGTGTGTGTGTGTGTGTTCAGGCCCTGAACTAATCCTGTTGCAATGTAACTCATAGAGCAGTAAAGCATAAGGGTCCTGTAGAGCTAAACACTTGGACTGACGTACACTATAAATGCCAGTAACTGCACTTGCATTGGTCTTGGAATTGACTGCTATTTGAATCAGACTTGATCATGCCAGATCAGAGTTCAGTTTGTTTAAAGGCTCCAAGTGACAAAGAACCTAAATTATTTGAATGGTTAACTGTGCTCACTGTCTGTATTTGGCTAGAATTACTAAAGCTGGGTGGCTTCTTGTTATTTTGTGTGTGCTACATTGAGAAGACCCCCACTTGTGAAATACCTGTTCCCTGCAAAGGCCACGATCCTTGAGTTCGTAGTTGGGTTTATGAACATGCCTTTATTTTTCCTTTTAATCTTTTAGTAATTTTCCTGGCCCTTCTCCAAAATCACTTCAGTTTCTTAGCTTCTTCCCCAAAGCCCCTCTGCCCAGAAAAATTAATTTACCAGAAAAATTTAATTGCCTTTGGAACGTAATTTCAAATAGTAGTGGTGCTTTCCTAGCAGAATTGCCACGCCAGAGTAACTGCGAGAGTTTGGAAATGATGGCAGCTGCATCACTGCTGAGGACAGTTCTGTGTGTTTCAGTGTGTGAAATGCCTGTATGCACACACTTACACACAAATACACAGCTATTCTCACAAATAAAAGAAGTGGCCACATGTCAGCCGTTTCTTCGCTGTGAACTCTGCAGGGGTTATTTATAACTGCTGATTAGTTATAACTGTCAAACAAGCCAGTTCAGAGCCCCAGGGCTGCTAAAGCGTGTTCAGCGTCTGATGGGATTTGTGCCATTTCTGAGATCTCCTTCCCTCCCAGTTCAGGAGCTACACTTCGTGCTTTCCTTCAGCTGAGAAGTGTGGCTGCAACCCTTGGTGGCAGCTCTGGGTGACAGCAGCTAGATTTGCTATGGCAGGTGCAGATTCAATGCAGGTGGGCAGGAATCTTAGCTTACTTCTGGACAGTCTCAGATTTGAGTCTGCCTTTGCTGTCTTTGGCATGTAGAACTCTAATATTTCCCCAACTTATCTTATTTTTCCAGAATTCTGGTCAACATGGATGATAACATTGTGAAACACTATTCTAATGAAGATACCTTCCAGCTGCAGATTGAAGAAGTTGGAGGATCTTACAAGCTGACTCTCACTGAGATCTAAGATCACGGATCCTCTGTGGATTTTAAGCACAGATCTCGAGTGATCACTTTCCATAATGTAGTGTGTCAAGTAAAACACCAATCACCTTCTCCAGGAGCAAGTCAGGTGTTGACTTGTTCTGGGGATCAGAGAGGTGTTTTTGCTTGATACCTTTGTCTGTTCTTTCTAGAGAACGTTGTAATGCTCATGACCTTATTTGCACTTGAAACCAGTGAGCAAAGAACAGCAATTAAATAGAGCATGTATAAAAGACTAGTAGGTAAGGGAGGGGAAACCCTTGGAAGGTGGCCTTTTAGAGTGGTGATGTCTTATTTATCTATTCGGTACCCACGATTGAGCCTGTTATCAGCTAATAGCGTTTTACTGGACTGTTTTCTGTTAGGTAGAGCTGCAAAACTACTGACTGAAACTGGTAGGAATTGCGTGCAGGTTGGAGAAAAGTCATCATGATGTTTACTCTTTATCAGGGCAGGTTGTTGAAATCACTTGTGTCATGGGGGGGAATGTAATACTGCCTTGCTTATGAAGAACTCGCCTTAGTAACTGTGTGAACTCTCATCAGATGAAGCTATATTGTATATAAGTGCAATATATTTTTGAAGGTTTGTAAATGTGTACATACAAGTGATATATAATATATATAAAATATGGTGTTTGTGTATATACCATGAATATATGCAAAGAAGCCCATCTAAAAGGATGCCATATACAGAGAAAACAGATATTTAACGTAGCTATTTAAAAAAAAAGGACAAAGCCTTAACATGCACCAAAGGTGAGCACGCATTGGTACGTTTGTAGAGTGCGCAGAGACCTTGTTCAGCATGCATTCTCCTGTGTGGAGGGAAGGGTAGCAGCTCTCCTCAACCTCTCTGGACAGCAAGGCACTGGCAGCTCTGTCTCCTGACTGTCCTGGCTCTGAGCAGGGTGGTCTGTGCTGAGGCCGAGAGGCTGTGCCAAAGAAACACTGAGCACATTCAGGTTCCTTGAAACCTCACTTGGAGGGGTCAGGAAGTCTCCTGCAGGGTGGATTTGTGGATTTCTGTCTGGCAGTATGCTTAGGATTCCCCCAGCCCTCCGCCAAGCCCTGTGGCAGTGGCTCGGTCTGGGGAAGTCCAGTGCTTGGCAAGGTGTTGGGTGGTGGAGCAGGGAACCGGGGCCCTGGACCAATGAGGGCAGCTGGTAGCAGCAGTCAGTCTGGTCCCAGCTGCCACAAACCTCCAAAAAAACTCCAAAAAACCTCCAAAACCAGCCACTGCAGTAAGCTCTATAGTGCTTACATTGTGCCTTTGTGCTTAGGAAGGGAAAGTGCCCTCTGGTTAGCAGCAAGGGAGAGGTGCACAGTAGGAGCTACAGCCACCTGCACTACAGGCTGGGATGTGAGCGGGTAGGAAGTTCTGGGACTGGTGCTGATGGCAGTGGTCTGCGTTAATGGGAGGTTTGCAGCACAAAGTTAGGGGGGGTTGGACGTGTGTTGCCCTGGGTTGACCCGGGTAGGCTGGAGAAGCAGGCTGGCAAAGTAGGACGTGATTCTGCTGAATGGTTTGTGTGTCCCCTGAGCCATCAGTGAGTGGTAACACAGTGCTGTCCAGCTGCATCATGCTGCTGTTTGGAAAAGGGACGTAGATGCCACACTGAGTTTCACAAACAGAAGCACAGGCTGCAGAATGCCTGAGCCTCGCCTGGTGTCCCACTGGGCTCTGAGGGAGCCTCAGCCACAGCACGGTGCCCTGCTCAGGGCTGGCCCTTGCCACTGTTGTGCTGCCAGGAGCCCAGGGCTGAGGGAGCAGAGTCTCCAAAGGTGTTGATGTGTGCTCCCACTCCTTGTGCTGGGCTTACGTTGCAGAAATTCAGGTTGCAGATGGAGAAGGTTGCCCAGGGAGGGCTGTGGCCTTTGGCATCAGAGCTCTCCAGAGCCAGGCTGGGTAACGTACCCTGGTGGCTGTGGGTACAGTTAATCCTGTCCTGGTGCTGGGGTGAGGTTTCCAACCTGAAATCCCTCCCCGCCATATATTTTATTGTTTTATGACTTAGGTGGACTGTGGTATTTTGGGATTTATGCTCGGGCCGACCCGGGCAGGCTCTCAGAGCGTCCCATTCCCCCTCCTTTCCTCTCAGCACCACGTGCCCACCTGCTAACATCCTGTTTGGGCCCGGAGTGAGCTGGCATGGCCCTGCCCTCCATTGGGCTTCCCTTGCGAGTTATGGGCACTGCTGCAAGGGGGTTTTTTAAACCTGGTATATAGAATCCCTGTCTGTTGACACATTTGTATCGAAAATGGAAGTCCTATTACAGAATCTCAGTCTGGGGTCAGGGAAGTAGTTTAGGGTCTCTGTAGGGGTAGGGTTGACACGACTGTTATTTCTTTTTTACTGTGTAATGAAGTATGTGAACTAAATCTGCCGGTTGTTTTCCTCTAAGGCTCTCTGGGACACGGGTCTTCTCTCTGTAGCAGCCTCATGTATGTGTTATGGAACTGATTTTTTGGTTTTGCCTGCTGTTTTTTAATTGAAAACGTATTTTAAACCAAGCTATTAAATTTTATATGTTCATTTCTAACGCTGAGTCCTCTGTGCAGTGAGCACGGCTGCCTTTCCTGGCCTCTGCGACAGCGACAGGGCCCGAGGGAACGGCGCGGGGCGGGGAAGGGGGGGGGTTAGGGACGGGCTGCGGGTACGGCACGGGCTGCCTAGGGCCCCAGCGGCTGCACTGTAAGGGGCGTTTGAACGGCGCTCTCAGAGCTGGGCTTTGGGTTCGGGGCGGTGCTGCGCGGAGCCGGGGCTGTCCTTGCCGACTCGGGACGCCGTATGAGTCACTGCCAGCAGCGCGCAGTGCGGCGCTCCGCTCTCGCAGTCCGGGCTTGAGCTGCGGCGTGGGGCTGGGAGCCTCGTGTCCCCGCGTGCGCCCGGCCCTCCCTCCCCGTCGGCAGCCTTCTGGAGCCCCGGCTTGTAGGGACGGGCCCCGTTTAGGTGTGACGCGGCGTGGGTGGGCGGGCTGCAGGGCAGGGCCGGGCGCGGAGCGCAGCTCGCGCTTTATCCGTTCATCGCCGGCCCATAACGGGGCTGCCCCGGGGCAGCACGTGGGTGGGTGTGCGCGGGGACCGCTCCTCCCGTAAGCGTATATGTAATGAGGAAACGGGCGTTCTACGTGAGCGGGTAGGGGCAGGAGAACGGCTTTAACCTAAAAGGGGGAGATTGGAGTTAAAAGGGAGGAGGAAACGCCGCACTCGGAGCGCGGTGGGAGCCCCATCCCGAGGCGGACGCGCTCCGTGCAGCCGGAGCCGTGCAGCCGGAGCCGTGCCCGCAGCCCTGCCCGCCGCACGCGGACGGCCCTCCCCTCCCCCCCGCCGGCCCGCCGTCCACGTGCAGCGCGGCACGCACTCGGGGGGAGGGGAGTTCCGGCCCGGCCCCGCCCCCTCCCCGCCCCGCCACACCCCGGGCATTCCCGGCCGCCACCCCGCCCCCCGTCCCGCCCCCCGCCCGACCTTTCCCCCAGTTTCCAGCTCCTCTCCCCCGCCCCCTGGCGCGCCGCCTTCCCGCCCGCCGCCGCGGGCCGCGCCCACGCGCCGCCCCCCCCTCCGGCAGCGCCCCTGCACGCCGCGATCACGCCGCCCGCCGCCTCCCATTGGCCGCGCGCGGTTCGCGCCGGGCGCCGATTGGCGGAGAGCCTCCGCCCCGCCCGCGCCGTCTGGCGCGCGGAGCTCTCGGCGGCTCGCGGCGCGCGGGACCGTCGGTGCCGGCCCCGCGGGCGGGGAAGAAGGGGCGGGGGCGGTGCCCGCCGCCGTGCTGCGCCCTGCCGACCGCCGCGCCGCCTCCCGCCTTCCCGCTCGCGTCGACGCGCCATGCACGGCTCGGGTTCGCCCTGCCCGGAGATGGGAGATGCGGCCGCGGTGAGCGACGCGGGGACCGTTACCCCGAGGGGGGCGGCCGGGGCCGGTGCCTAACGGGATTGGGGCGGGGGGCCGTCGGGGCCGTTAGCTGCGGGGATGGGGCGCTCGGGGCCGGGATCTGAGGGGCTCCGTCCTGGCAGCGCGGCGGCCCCCTTACCCGGCTGCAGCCGACGCCGCGCCGGGCGGGGTGAGACGGGGACACGCGTCCCGGCCGCGAGCCGCTGCGCGGATCTCCGGCGCTGACGAGCTGCCCGTGCGCGTAGCGGCGGCGATGTCGCGCATCCGTATGTCCGTGACGCCGCGGAGCCCCGCTCCGTGAGTCAGTCCCAGAACTGCGGGCCACGAGAGCCCCGATGACATCACCCAGGAAGCGCGGTTCCCTCGGCTCCGGAGGCCGTGGCAGCGGCGTGGCGGTGCCTGCTTTTTTTAGTTCCCCTTTTCTTTTGCGGCAGGGCTGCAGCGCTCGTCCTGCGCCTCCCGTCCCGGTGCCGGCAGGGCGCCGAGCAGCCGCGCTGCCGTGTGCTGCCGGAGCTCGGCCACGCTCGGGTTTCCTGTGCGGGAAGGCTGGGTGTCGCCTCGCGTGTGGCTGCGCACCCCGCTGTGCCGCTCGCCTGTGGACGCACACCGATAGCGTTCCTGCCCGTTGTCTTCGCGCTGCTCGGTGCCCTTTGGGATACCCGGCACCTGTGCGGTACCATACGTTTCTTAGCACAGTTTTTCAAAGTGCTGCATATGAAGAAGCCCTGCTGTGCTCCGGGAGCTCCTTGCCTTCCTTTTTCCCCACTAGCTAAAAATAAAATGGAAATGCTTTGCACAGCATGGTACCCCCAGGCTCAGAGCATCGTGCTGTCAGCCTCAAGTGTGTTTTCCATGCGCTCCGGCAATGAGATTAGTGCTAATGAGCAGCCATCTTCTGGGGCCAGGAGACAGCCTTGTCTAAACAAGGTTGGAAGTTCATCCCTTCTTTCTGCTTGTGTACAGACAAGGAACGTGTTTATTCAGAGCAGTGCTATCCAGGAAAAGAACTCTGGAAACCTGAGCTCCATATTAAACCTGTCAATTCCTTTTCTGTGAGGGTGGCTTTTTGGTCTTGCTTGGTTGATTTTATTTATTTATTATTTATTTATTTGTGATCTTTTTGGTTTTCCCCCCTTTTTTTTTCCTTTAGAAGGGTAACAGGGTGGGGAGACGAGCTGGCAGGGGGAGGGTGAGAAAGGAGCTGATGGGTAAAAGTCCTGCTGCAGGCATGGGATCTGTTTCAGATGACCTTCATGGTGAGCAGACAGCATGTGGGTGGTGTCAGCTTTGTATTCTGACTCGTGCTAATAGCCAGTAATCCGATTACATCCAGGTTGACATTGTGGATATCTATGAGTCCATCCGGGAGCGGCAGCGCCACGACAGCGAGCGTTCCACCTGCAGCACCTTGGAGCAGAATGACATCGAAGCCGTTGAGGCACTTGTTTGTATGAGCTCCTGGGGGCAAAGATTGCAGAAAGGTGACATATTAAAGATAAGGCCTCTCACGCCCTTCTCGGATTCTGGAGATTTCACAATGCACGCTGAGGCTACTTCTGAATTACCAAAGGATTATTTATCTACGCTGGTAAGGAAGGCGTGACTGCAAAATAAGCGTGTGACACCTGGCTGGTACATCTCTGCCGTGTTTTGGCTTAGCTGAGGAAGATACCTCGCTTGTGTGACCGTGCATAGAACAGTGGCAGTGTGACTCGTGCTGTGTGTGTACATGCAAATCAGCAG